GGGAACTTTGTGGTGAAAGCATCCACTCCCATCAAACAAAGACTGAAAACATGTTATCACTCTTCCCTTCTACCAAATTGTGCTCTTGCACTGATTTCCTAGCTACAAAAGAAAATTCCTAGTGTGTGCCTGTCGAACAATCTGGAGAGAGGGGCTACATTGACCTAATTTAGAAATATTGAGAAGACTTGCCAGAGACAGCAATGATTGCAAGCTTTTGCATCAACATAAGGAAGTTGGATTTCTCTTCCAAGAAGGATGCTACTCTGCTAGGAATTTCTCTTCAAAGAAAGATGCTGCTCTGCTAGGAATTCAACCAAAATGTGAATGGTAAGAAGTTGGAAAATGAAAGTTGGAAACAGCTGCTCTCATACCCCCTTCTCTCACCCTATCTTAATCTGCTGTAGATTAGAAATCCTGAGCAAAGCCAGTGAATCCCTCTCTTTCTCACCCCCCAGCTATTTGTCCCCCTGTGGCATCCCTCTTTATTCTCCATGGAGCCTGTGCCCTCATCCAACTTGCAGCTCTCCAGGCCTCCTGAGGGTGGCACCAGAGAAGATTGAACAATTGGTTAAAAGCTTATAACAAAACTAACCCTTGCAATTGCCTCCTTTGTAATTAACTGTATTTTTATCTACATTCTTCTCATAGCAAACAAAGGCAGATGGCAAGAAAACAAGCCAATGCGAGAGATGTCTAAAAGAAAAGAAAAACCCTTCAGGAGAGAAGCGTGGCAGGAAAGAGAGTGTTGATAGCTCCAGACCAGCATAATGACAGAGTGGAGGGTTTGGCCCTGAGGCTGCTGATAGATCTTGAGCATAGATGAGCATTAGGCTCGTGCTCATTAAGTTACATTTGCTGAGGCAGGGAAGTGGTCTCAGAGAGTTCAGAAGGATTTTAGACAGGAAGGATTTTCTTGCATTCTTAGTTAACCAAAGTCCTTTCTAAAATTTCTGCTCCTTCCATTTTTTACCAATATTTTGTACCAGTGTTAGCAAACAAAACCAAAATCAAATACTTTCCAAGAATGGCATTTTGAGGTTCATGATGGAGAGTTAGTAGCTGAAACTTGTTATCCTCCTAAAACTAGTTCAAATGTTTTCTCTTCCTCTCCCTAATCTCTCCCTCTCTGCTCAGCATCGCTGGAGAACACTGCTGCTGCTTTTTCTAATGTGACGGATAGTATGATAATTCTCAGTTCTGTTTTCTGACAGTCAAAAGAAACCTTGGAGCCGGGGAGACAGACAGGGAGTGAAATAAATCTTATTTAGGTGCTGCCAACACTAGAATTTTATTAAAGGCCATTGACTCGGTCTACACGAGAAGGCTTCCACTAGCGGCTGAGACAGAGTCATTGGGTAAAAGGCTTTGATATCATTCCCTTCTTTGTGGAGGAGAACTTTGCTGTCAGACTCTGCAGGTTTAGTTAACACATTACCTTGAATGGCTGTGAGTGGTTGTTTTCTCCCTTTCTTAGTATAACACCAAGCTGGACAATTAGCTTCTTAGGGGCAAATGTTTGAAGTAGTAGGTGCAGCATACAGAGCAGCTTCGTCTAGGGATGAATATGCAAGACCTGCTTGCAAATCCTTGGGAATTTCAAATGTGCTGGTGTTTGTAGATTTTTTTTTTTTTTAAATATATAAACTTCTAGCTATGGATCCATGGAAGCAAAACATTTTCCTCTGATAAATTACCTTCGTCCATTCATTGGGAAACCTGGGTACTTTACTAGGTAGGTTCATCACTAGGGGATTTGCGTGGTACAAAATCGATATATATATATATTTTTTTGAGGAAGATCAGCCCTGAGCTAACATCTGCCAATCCTCCTCTTTTTGCTGAGGAAGACTGGCCCTGAGCTAAAGTCCATGCCCATCTTCCTCTCCTTTATATGTGGGATGCCTGCCACAGCATGGCTTGCCAAGCAGTGCCATGTCTGCACCCAGGATCCGAACCGGCGAACCCTGGGCTGCCGAAGCAGAACGTGCACACTTAACCCCTGCTCTACCAGCCTGGCCCCCAAAATCAGTATTTTTTTTCTTGATCATCTACTCTGTGCTAGGCACTGTATAGATATAGAAGGAGGGGATTCCTGACATATAAAAACTTTGTAATCTCATCAAAGAGGCAGGGAACAGTTTCACATGTTTTAGAATGATTTTAGATAGGAAGGAATTTCTGCCTTGCATTAGTAGAAGGCCCTCTTGAAAGGCTACTAAGAAAATTAAATGTAAATATGTGACCTGTAGTTTGATAGCATCTGTTATTGTATCATCTTTCTTTGGAATTGAGGCTACTAGGAATTTTCGTGTGTAGGAGAGGGTTCATAAAGAAGCTGTCCTTTGATCTGATCTTGAAAAGAAGACTGACATTGAGGTAGACAAGTCTTGAAGCCACCTCTGCCAGAGCGGGTAGCATCAGTGAAACCATGGGAGGGGGAATGTGCCCAGGTGTGAATGGGAAGGTGAGTCCACCAACCAAAGGCTGCCTATGGAGAGAGGAAACTGAAAAGGATGTTGCTGAGCTGAACGAGAGAGGCTTGGTTTATTGGATTGTTTAGTATACTCACTGCTTGAGGGGCCTCTGGATGCTCACAAATAACAAAGCAGCCCCTTGAAGAGGATAAAAACAAATATCTGGCTGGGACACATACCTGTCTGGCCCACAGATTTTGAGTCCAAGCCTAGGGGCATCAATTTTAAAAAACATAGAGGAAAAAAAAAAACCACTGATGCTGGCACCCAGTGTTTCCTCACAGAGATGAATTCTGTGGGGGAGCAGGGATGGCAATCCCTTGGTGTAGCCACATGAGCCCTCAGAATTTATGTGTGATTTTCAGGATATGTCTGAGTTCAGCCTCCACACACATAATTATTATTACTTCACACCACCCTGATTGTGTTATACTTGCATAAATCTTTGTATGTAAATCTAGATATTGACATACATTTATATGTAGACATAGGCACACACAAATGATATGAACTCTGTTTCCTTTAAGTTCATAGAAACAAGTGCAGCCTTGGGCTTAATAAAAGCTAGAGCAAGAAGAAAGGCAGAAGCAGACACTCCCAGATCCCAGATCAGTCCCTACTGTTGTTATACAAGTCTGCATATTTAAATGCAAGGTGTTCAGGACATGCTGGAAAATAAGAGGAAGGATGTGCCTCCCCTAGCTGCTTGGGTTCTGTATTAAGAGGGAATGAGTTGTCTCATTCTCTGTTATCTCTACGAGGGGAGCTGCCTCCCCATCTCTCCTTGGCACTCTTAAAACGAATCAAGCATGAAATGCACCCAGGAAACTTTTGTCCCCCAGCCATGATGGGGCAGAGAAAAATAATAAGGCTTGAAAGAAAAAAAAAACACAGTTTCTCCTTGGCCAGATGCCCAAATACTGTGTAGTTGGAGCCAAATGACCTGCTTGCTTTAGTAGCCAGACTTTTCAGCTTTTTTGGCTTCAGAATGTGTTTTGATCCAATGGACATAATTCCATAGCAAGCTCTTCCGAGGGTCAGTAAGTACTCACTTGAGTTGAGTGTTTCTTGGACATGCCTGGTACATCTGCAGCCTTGGTGAATCACTGGGTGAGTCATTTGACCCTTCAATGAGTGCTGGGGCTGGAGAGAGGACAAGGCTGGACAGTCATGGTACTCAGTACAGTATGACTCACCATCCATTCACTGTGGATTTGGCAAGTGCAGTGGTGGAAGATCGGGGTATGAGCGGGTTACAGACCAGGCACAGAACAGAAAGGAGACGTTCCAAATGATATTTTTCAAGTCCGTAGCCAAATGTCCATATGAAGCCTAGAGGAATGGGAATCTCTGGGCTGCCAGCAGAGGACACTTCTGGAAGCAGAAGAGGGTTCCATGGTGCTGTAAAGATTATTGGAGCAGAGTAGAAGGGTGGAGCAAGCCAAGATGAAGAAGAAGACTTAGGAGAAGAAAGGCATTTGGAGAGGATGGAGTATGTAGAGGGTTAGACTCTGTCCCATGAGCAGTATTCCTTTGCAGTTGCCTTTGGAGAATACTGAAGCAGTGTAGCAAATGGACTGCAAATCTTACCAGCTGTGTAACCAACTGTAAAATGTCCATAGTAACGTCATATATCACAGGGATAGTGTGTGGATTAAATGAAATAATGCATGAGAAGCATTTGGATCATAGTAAGAGCTTAGTCCATGTGGGCTGCTGTTATAGCCTGAAGTTCCTCTGGTTACTGTTAAAAAGATCAACACTGGCTCCTCTTGCCTGCAGGACCAATTCTGGTCATCTTAACTTTTTCCAAGTTGCCCTCAACATTTTCATCTAAATTTATTTAGCTAAGCCAGGCTTATTCATATCCTGTCCTTGTGTATCTCACCACTTTGACCCATATTGTCCCCTTTGTGAGTAATGACTGTCTTATTTTTGGCAGTTTGTATGTTGTCATTCGTTTGGATCCCAACTGAATCCCCATACATTTCTGAAACATCCCTGGTTGACTTCTGAGTCTCCTTTGCATTCATTTGTCACTGGTGGCCTCAAGCATTTCTCATTATTCTAGTCAGGTTCAGGTTATACTCTCTGCTCTTCAAGAGCCAGGCCTGGATTTCGCACTTCTTTGTGTCACACACAATGGTCTGCATATCCGCATGTGCTAGGCCAAGTGGTACAGCTGATTTTTTTACCAAGCAGAACAGAGTATGAATCTTAGTTCATTCTAAGATTTAGTGGGCATGTGATTTCCAACAAATCACTTAATCTTACTCAACCTCAGTTTCTTCAACTATAAAATGGGGATATTAATATTTACCTTGCAGATTGTATGTGGGGAGTAGTGATGATGTGTAGAACACTCACTCGGCATATGGCAGGAGCTCAATAAATAGTAGGTATTATTATTATCATCATCATCATTATTATTATTATTATTATTATCACTGACTCACTGAAGTGATGTTTGTGCATTCAATGCACTATTAGGTCATGGTGCTGAATAATTTCTCTTCTCTACAGTTATACAGCTCCGCTGAATTTGGAAGAAGGTGGCAGCTTATCCAGGAAGGGGTCGCACCAAACAGGTTCTACTGGTAAGTCTTGCTTTATTTTGTGCACTTTATTAAGCTATCACCTAGTAAATGAGCATGGGATTCCTTTTCTCACCCAGAGCTCTCACATGAGGTCTGTTCTTTTTGGGATATGCCCACATCCCCCACGGCAGGATGTGACACTGGAGTAGTAAACATTTTATGGGAATGTTAAACAGTGTCACAAATGACTTAATGAACCCAAAATAAGTGACTGAGATTAGGGAACAGCCAGGGCTTTGTCACTGCTGTTTTGTTATAGTTTGTTGAGACTTGTGAGACAGATACTTGAAAAACATTTTAATACTGATTTTTATTACTAAAAGCATTATACACACGTATGTTCCATGTTCAGAATGAAGGTTTTCAGTGTAAATAAGTAGATCGTCTTTAGTCTCAAATAGATCTTCCTCCCATTCCTGATGTCAAGGCTTCTAGACCTTCTTCCTGTCATATGGGATGCAACCAATGTTCTTAGTGTCTTACTTCTCCTTACATAGACGTTCTATGAATTACCAAACACGTATATAGATATGTGTGAGAACTTGGTCAACTTGGACTGCTAATAACAAAATACAATAGACTGGATCGCTTAAGCAACACATTTATTTCTCTCAGTTCTGGAAGCCAGGAAGCCCAAGATCAAGATCAAGGTGTTGTCAGATTGAGCTCCTGGTGAAGACCCGGATTTTTCAGAGGATACTGCAGCATACTGCAGAGGGCTGCCTTCTTGCTGTGTCCTCACACAGGGGGAGACAGAGAGGAACAGCAAAAGAAACAAGGACACAAAGAAAGTTTCTCTTTTTTGCCACCGGAGGCCATCCCCCTGATTAAACAGAGGTGGCCTCCCTCCATGGGGTTGGGCGGCTACAAATGAAAAGAAGAGAAATAACACGAGTTCCTTTTGGCTTTGGAGTTTCCAAGGGCCTAGATCCTGGCAAAGCGAGAACAAAGTATGAAGCATTCTAGTGTAATTTCAACATTACTTATCCATCCCTTTTGAATTTACAACCTAACCCCTGCCAAAAGATATGACTCTACCTTACCCTAATTTATGTAATCTGCCTGGGGAAAAGACATTTAGGCTGTTTCCAGACTTTTGCTAGTGTAAAAAGTGCTATAAAGAACTAGCTCAGACAGAGTTTAAATATCCCTCGTTCACATCATTCAGAATCATTGGGGCAGTGACCTTTCAGGAGCCAATGAGCTCCTGCAACTACGACAGTAAAAGACGTCTCCCCTATACTCCTCCTAAAATCACGCTGCCTCTCATCAGCCTCTGCACTTACATGCTCCCAGTAGCCCCCCACCCCACCCCAATTCTCTCACTTTGAGGAGGAATGCATTTTTATCTTTCTTGTTTTCAAACACTGCCCTAAAACCCCTGTGGGAGTTGAAAGCCAGAGAATTGCATTAGAGAAATCTCTTAGAACGCTAGTGAAACTGCCTGAGAAAGTGAAAGACAAGTCATTTACAAACAAATTGGCTCCGAGATAACATGGAGAGACTTCTACATGGAGTGGTACCTGTTCCCCCATCATAAAGAGACATTTATGATTAAAGGGTTTTTTTACGTAGAAGCTATTTGACTTTTTCCCACTGCTGCTCTTGCTCAGGAGCGGCTTGAGCCTTGCTTTCCGTGTCCAAACCAGCTTCTTCTTTTCTCTGGGAATTCAACTCTAGCTACCATTGAGTCATCCTTCTCTGATGAGCACTTCTTCTCTTCCCCTCTTACTCATCGTGTCCCTTATTCACAAGACACCTTGTACCTCTGTGTTTTGCCTATAAATTATAAAATCACTTTTTTGGAAAGAGGGCCCATGTATTTTTTTTTTTTTTTCATTCTCTCATTTACTTGGTCTTATATGTGCATAGAAAGGCCTCAGAAAATAAATAAAGGAAAGACGAAAAGAAATGTATGTGGTCCTCCTAATTTAACCTGGAAATGGAGTTGATGAGAAAGTGTGAGGGACAAATCTATCCTTAAGTCCTGCTTCTAAGAGACTAAAAATTTGTGCAGATAGACCCAGCAATAGAAGGTAGAAAGTTGCAATTCACAGAGAACTGGACGGAAGTTTGTTCCTACCAACAGAAACGAAGAAAAGCATTGACTAAAAGGATGCACGGAGAAAAAGAACTGAAATGAGAATATTTCCCATGTAAGCGGTACATGGTCCATAATATTTTCCAGCTCACTGGGGGTCATATTTACACACAGCATTGTGAGGTGAGTGGACTGGTGCTAACTGCAATCCATTCTTATCTCTTCTTTGAATGGAGGTCTTCTCTGTGAAAGGCTGATTAGCAAAGGCCTTGTAACCAAATGTCATAATATACTATCTTTATAAAAACCTTACACTTGACTGTGTATGAATTCTAATTAATCTGTTAAGTAAAATAAATAATACCCCTCCTTCTGTCTTTGGGAACAGAGAATTACATCTTCTTTATTCAAGCCCTAACATTGTGATAAGCATTATTCAAACTTAATCCTCATAACAATTTTATGAAGTAAGCCCTGCATTATCATCATTAACAGATGGGGAACACATGATATGGAGAGGTCAGGTAATTTAGCTAAGATCACACAGCTGGAAAGTGGCAGAGCCAATATTCAAACGCAGGCAGTCTGGCTCCAATGTCCATGCTCTACTGAATCAGTGGACTCTGTTGCCTCTGCCTCATGACCTTTTTTCTGAGCTGGGGTTGTGATCTCTGGAAATCCAGCCCATTCAGGCAGATGAGAAGAGAAAACCCAAAGCGCTTTTGGCCACAGTGCCTGTGTGTGTCTCTCTCCAACTTGGCTTGGCAATGGCCCCTGCAGATTCTTTAAATTTGGTTGGTTTTTCCAGAGAAGGCGAGAGACCTTGTAAACTGCATAGTGTACATGACTGCTGATGAAAATCTCATGGTCTCTGGCCACATGGTCTGTAGTTTCTGACTCTGAGAAACTTCCCAAGGCTTGCGGAAAAGGTGTCAACCACAGCAATGATTTTTAGACTCCCTCCTGGAAACCAGTTGCTTCAAATTACACAGGAACTATGGGGCTATCTAGGATTATTCAGTAAGCTTAATTAAAAGAAGCCCCCTTTAATCATTTCTTCTTTGAGCCTGGATATGGGGGTCTGGAAAGGACTGAGGGGAATTTTCCTAGTGCGAAATCAAATTGTTAAGTGACCCTGGGTAATAACATAGTGTTGCCCACAGAGAAAAGTGAAGATGAATTTCTATTTTTTCCTCATCACCTAATAGACTCGGGAAATATCTTTATTATGGACAGCAATAGTAATGCCACCCCTGGAAATAATCTATGGCAATTGTAAAATATTTATGGACTGTAAGAGCCTACTTTTATGTTATCACAGTGATTGCTGTTAGTACTACCATAGCTAACATAAATATGAACCCTCCTCCAAAGAGTTCAAATTGTTTCTAAAACCAATTTACATGTACAGGCCATCTTACAAAACATATCTTAGCAGAATATTGCCCTTAATAGAATAGGTGTCCTTTTGATTTAGCTAACTGTGATAAGTCTTGTTCTTTACTATGTCAGAAATCTTTTATACTGGGAGGCACTACAGCCTGGAGGTTAGGGGCTCAGAGATACTGAGGTGTGAGTTCTAGCTTTGCCATTTGCTAAGTAAGGGATCATGGGGAAGTTACTTAATTTCTGCATGCCTCAGTTTTTTCTTCTGTACAGTAAAGATAATTAATACCGACTTCATTAAATGAGATGTTTCTTGTGAACTGGTTACATGCCTGGCGCCTAAGAATTGTATTAAGTGCCCGCTGCCTAGTAGTGATAATAATATTAATAGCGGCTGACTTTCTGCATCTGTTACTCTTGTGTTCCTCTGTGTTGGCTTCATTCACAGATTGGCTTTTCCCCTTTTGTGGCAATGATGAACATCATCAGCTTTAGTCTTACGTTCTGACAGTTTAGAAGCCCCGTGAAACCAGTTGGCCTCTTTCCTTTTATTTCCAGAGATTGAATCTGAGTGGTCTAGCTTGGATGAAGGCTATACAAGGTGGTACATTACTTATGTAGGTCAGACACATATCTACACTGGGAACTGAAATAGAAGGTGGGGTCGAGTTCCAGTCAAACTGCATGGTTCAAGGTTGGGAGAGAGATGATTCCTAAAAAGGGAAAAAGATGTTATCATAAAAAGGGAGAATAGATTTTCATTAGGAAAAAACTACAGGTGAGAAAACTCAGTGTCAGCAAGATAAAATTCCATAATAGGGATTTGTATTTGTCAGGTAACTACAGTGATATGAGCACATGATAAATCATGCCGTTTGGTCCTCATAACAAGGTTGTGAGGTAGGGATTTGTATCCTCCTTTTGATGAAATAGAAAAGTGAGGTAGTTTATCCAACATATCACACATAGTATGTAATACGGCTAGGTTTTGAAACATGGTCTGTCTGTGTCCATGGCCCTTGCTTGCAGTAGTTAAGATTAGCCCCGAATTCAAGACTTATTTCCCACCTGCATCCCCTAATAATAACTGAGTTTAATAGTCCAGTAAATAAGGGCCAAGATGCTGCATTTTGACATTGAAGAAGAACGTGGAATTGAAGGATCAGTGGTACTCAAATGCCTTGAATAAGTGAAGCTCCTGCCGAAAGGCAAATTCCTTATTAGAGGTTTATGAATGTGGTTTGTTGGGATCTGATTCAAGTTCAGGACAAAGCCTTGGGAGGCAGTTTTCATTATAAACCATTCAGCAGTCTATTATCTATATAAAAGTCAAGGCAATCTTAGAGCCATTTCACTTAATTAAAAATAGGTTCAGACTTACCTTATTGATTGTGTTGTTCTGACATCTGGGGGCTGGCTGGAAACAGGGATGACTGAATGATGATTACATATTTTATGTGACTAAGTTACTCATAGAAAACTAAGAGTTGGCTCCACAGTGAACCTTTGTTGTTCTGGCATGCCAGCCTTGTTTCACTAATGTCCCTCAGGGGGCATATGACAGCTGTATTGT